ATTGCCTCTGCCTGGCTCCCTCTTTCTCCAGTCACCATTAGGATTCATGGCTCTCTTTTCCTACAGCCCCCCATTTTCCCAGCAGAAGGCCAAGCCTGGCCTCTCCCTCCACCTGTCCTCTCCCCCGCTTCCTGCTTGGCCTTTCTTCATGGCAGCCCCCGCCACCTGATGTTTACCACACATCTCACTGTGCTTGTGCTTGTTTTTTGTCTGCTGCTATTGGCACATCAGCTCCAGGGGTGGGGACTTTGTCATGCTGTCAGCTATTGCCAGCGCCCGTCACTGGGCTTGTCATGTTGAAAGAACTGAGCATCTGGGAGCAGGTACATGACTGCAGGGCAGTGCCCAAGCGGGGGTCTGTGTCGCCGGGACCCGCTTCACATGGAGCAGGGGCCTTGCTGAACTGAAGCTGCCCGTTGGCCATCTACCACCGAGAAGCTCGAAGGGGTCTTCTCCCCGTGTGGCCTAGCCTCTCTCCCCTTCTCCCCTCCCCCTTCCTTTTAGGAGCAAATATAGCCCCCCATCCCGCACATTTGCTCAATGAAGAGGCGTCCCTCCCCCCAAAAATCCTGGTCCCTGCTGACCACTTTGCACACAGGCCACACCTACCCCAATCCTATCAAGATCTTTTCCCCAAAATAATTCTTTCCCTGAGAGGAATTGCCAAGAGAGGAAATAAAATGTCACACCTTGTTTTCTATATAAAACAGGAAAACCAAGAATCCATCTACATGTTTAACAAAGATGAAGGTGGTCCAGCCATTCTATGGACAACGAAGCAGCCACTAAAAATGACGGTACACTTACATTACAGACAAAGAGCTAATTTCTTAATATATAAAGTGCTTTCACAGCTCAATAGGAAAAAGACCAACAACCCAATGGAAAGGTGGACAAAGGATATAAATAGTTTATGGAAAAGGAACTATGAGCAACCCTGAAATATTTTAAAAGATGCCCAACATCATTCATGAGAAGAGAAAGGGGGAAAAACAGATACCATTATTCATCTCCCAGACTGCAAATGTGGAAAAGTTTGATAAGGGAAAAGGTTTGTTGGGAAGGGTGTGGAGTAAAAATTAGTTCCACACCTTAGGAGGCTAATTTGCTATATTTACCAAAGTTCAAACTGTGTATTTCCCTTGACCTTGCAAATCTACTCCTTTATTCCTTAAAGACATATGTAAATATCATATGCAAATTTTTATCCTCACCCAAGGGCACTTTTCCCCATTGCTTCTTAGGGAGAGAGAGAGGGTAAGAAACATCCATATGTCGTTTTCTTGTACATGCCCCGACCAGGGATCGAACCTACAAGTTGGGTGTGTGCCCTGACTGGGAATTGAACTCCAGACCTTTGGTCTATGGGAGGAGACTCCAACCAACCAAGTCACACCTACCAGGACTTTGTACTGTGTATATTAACTAGCCTGCACCCACCAATGTCAAAGAGGCATTTGTCTCTCCGTTTTACTTTTTATTCAATCCCAGAGGGTTCCTCCTTGGCTTTCTCCCACCTCCTTAATCTCCCACCAGTGGAATTCACATCACCCTCCTTCCATCTGCTCCTTTGATTCCAGGGCATAAAATAAGCCACAAAATGCCACGCTTTGGAGAATTTTCTCAGTTCGTTGAGCTTTTGCTTCCAGCAATTGTTGCTGGTTTGGCTAAAAAAAAATTCTCTACAGGTCTAGATATTTCTTACATCGACATCTTGCAGACTGAGTTGCAGCCAAGGTAAAGTTTGGGTCACCAGCCAGCCAGCCAGCCAACATTCAAAAAATAAATGCAGCAAAGAAAACCAGCAGTTCACATGCTCAGAACACCTACAAGAAGTTTTTGCAAAGTACTAGCACTGGTATTCACTTGCTTAGTCAGTAGGACAGCTCTGTGCGGAAGGCGGAGGTGAGTCCAGGATGGTCAGTCCGTGTGGCCTAGCTTTGTTCTGGCTCTAACAAAGGACCATAGACTCGGATGCAGTGAAATGACAGAAACTTATTGCTTCCGGAGGCTGGCCGGAAGTCCGAAATCCAGGTGCTGGCAGGGCCCTGGTCCCTCTGAGGCTCTAGGGAAGGACCCTCCCTTGCCTCTACGGGCTTCTCGTGGTTGTCAGCAATTCTTGCAGCTCTTGGCTTGCGGACACGTTATTTCCATCGCTGCCTCCGGAGCCACGTGGCATCCTTCCTGCCTGCCTGTCTTTCTAGTCATCTCTTCCCTTGTGCAGACACGAGCCGTATGGAATTAAGGGCCCTGCTCCAGGAGGACCTCACCTTAACTAATCACATCTGCTCTGACCCTATTTCCACATAAAGCCACATTCTGAGGTTCCGGGGGGGCTGGGACTTCAATGTGTCTTTTTCAGGGACACAAATTTAATCCACAACCGATGGGAAGAGACCTACTGAGCAGTTCTGCTGACCTTTCCTCAGAGGGGCGGGGCAGAGTGTGTGTGTTGGGGTGCGAGGAGACTGACTTGGCCCTGCCTACACCCAGTCACCTCTGTATATGACCGAGAGGCAGGCTGAGCAGAGTGTGAGATTCACCAAGAGCTTGCCCTTCTGCTCCCTTGCCCCCATCAAGGACCCACAGTGCTCACGGGGCACTTAGGGTTGTCGTGCGCTCGGCGCATCTCGCACTCACCTCATCCAACCCACAAAACGCGCTTTGAAGGATGGACTATCAACCCCCATTCCACAGACAGAAAGTGAGGCTCTGAGTGATGAAATACAGGCACATCTCGTCTCCCACGCTTTGTTTTTCATCCCAAGGGTTCATTGTCTTCCACATCAAAGCAAGCCCCTCCCCCAGCAAAAAGGTCACTGCTCACCAAGGGCTCATAGCATTTTTAGCAGTCAAGTTTTCTGTTTATTCTTTTAAAATTCTCACTTGAGGACCTGCTCACTGATTTTAGAGAGAGGGGAAGGGAGGGAGAAAGTGAAGGAGAGAAACATCAACGCAAGAACTGGATCAATTGCCTCTCAACTACGCTCTGAGCCCCCTCGACCCAGACTGAACTTGCAACCTAAGCAAGCACCCTGACTGGGAATCAAACCTGCCACTGTTTGGTTTAAGAGATGATGCTCCAACCAGCTGAGCCGTACCAGCCAGGACTCAAGTGCTTTTTTAAAAAAGATTTTTATTTATTTTTAGAGAGAGGGGAAGAGAGGAAGAAAGAGAGGGAGAGAAACATTGATGCACCAGAGAAACACGGATCAGCCGCCTCCCAGGGGCGGAACCCACAACCCTGACATGCTCCCCAACTGGAAATCCAACCGGTGATGCCCCCACCCTGCGGGACGATGCCCAACCAACTGAGCCACAGCTGTCAGGGCGCAAGTATTGTTTACTTAAGGTATGTACATCATTTTTTAAGACATAATACTATTGTCCGTGTCATAGACTATGGTATAGCATAAACATAACTTTTATATGCACTGAGAAACCAAAAGTTGTGTGTGACTTGCTTCATGGAGACATTTGCTTTATTGCGGTGGTCTGGAACCAGACCGAACTATCGCTGAGGTGTACGGTAGTGAGTCCACCGTCACCCAGTAAATACAAGGCACTGAGAGAGACCCCTCTGTCTGCCTACCATGCAGGTGCCAGTCAAGTTGGTGCCATGTCTGGAGACGAGGCATAATCACTGGCCAGGAGGTGAGTAGAGTTTGGGAAATCCACGTTGGTTGGGGAACCGAGGTGGACCTGGATGTCATCAGCTTTATCTCCCCCTCTGCTCTCCAGCGGGAACCAAGCCTAGTGCTTTTCTGGGCGCTGCTTCTTAGAATGATAAGGCTGCAGGTCCTACTGTGGAGCACAGCCCACCTCCTGCCACACCCGGGTTTGTGAGACGGGGAGGGCTGATCTTCCAGCAGGTTTTTAAGACTGCGGAACCCCCAGCCCTTCAAAGAGGAAACATAAGAACCCCCAACTTATCAATGCATGCAGAGGGTGCTGTAGGTTGGGGACCCTCTCCCAAACCTCCGCAAATGGCCATCCCAGCAAATCCCAGGTCCTGGCCTCCCAAGAGAGAAAAATGGCTTCAAAAAATAACAAGCGTGTGCCTGGAAATGCAAAACACAAGTAACAAAATGATGACCACAAATTCACCTATTGCTTAAGAGGTTCGAACATTCATTTGAAATAGGCTGGACAGTTTGACATTAAGGAATTACTGTTGAAATGTTTAAAGCGTGCTGATGGTTTTGTTTTTTAAAAGGACTAGTCTTATAGCACATTCTGAAATATTTCAGTTGAGATGCTCTGATGTTTGTTTTCCATTTGGTTAAAAATGAGGTGTGGTGGAGAGGAGACTGGGGTGGCCCAGTGGGGTGACTGACTGCTGAAGTGTGGCCGTTGCTCCATAGTGTTTCAATTACATCAAACTCAGCAAATACATACAGCTCTTCCTACTTTTGCATACATTGAGAATTGTCCATACATTTTTTTTTAAGCTTTTTAGGCTAAAAAAAAGTCTGCATTGTGCATGATGAGCAGTGTTACTTCTCTAACTCTTTAGAAAGCAATTAAAAACTGATGCTCCAGCGGGTGACCGGAGCGTTTGAGGGCGAGAAGGCAGGGAGGGCGAAGGGGGCGCAGCGGTGGATGGATTGCGCCTTGGGTCACCTCAACCGCTTTCATCTGCGGCTCGAAACTCATTCCCCAAACTCCGCCGGGCAGCAAGCAGCGAGCGCGCTGCCCCGGCCATGGGATCCCCCTCTGGCCAAAAACGGAGATCGGTCCTGTCCCGTTAGTGTGCGTATCCTTCAGTCCAGTCAATCCCCGGTCCCGTGTCTCTCTGGTGAGTTCTGTCTGTCCCGTCAGTTTTGTCGGTGTCTACCTGGTCATCCCACCCGATGGCCACCGGGACCTCCCTCCCACTCCAAAGCCCCCTGGCAGGCCCTCCTCCTCACTCCGTTGGGTATTCGCGCCCTCACTGCGCAACCACGCGCACCCTCCCGCCCCCGGGACCCGCAGCGCCCCGGGCCTCTGCCCGCACTCACCAGCCGCGCTCCTCACCACACTGCGCTCCACACGAAACTGAAAGTAGGCGCCTTCAGCCGGACTAGCCTCGCGCCGGGAGCCGGCTGCTGCTGCCGGGAAATCACGTGGATTCGAGGTGCCAGTCCGATCATGGGGGTGGGGATTCGGGCACCAGCCAGAGCCTCTGTGCCTCCTGAAGTTTGGTGACTTTTGTGGCATCCGGAGACAGCTCCAAGGGACAAGGCTGGGCGCAGGCCCTTTTCATACACGCCAAACCGAGGCAGGGGTTCCAAGGGTTGGCTCACACGGGGCGCGCATGTGGGATGGGGTCAGGGTGACCCAGGCTGAATTTAGCTCTCCTTCCTCCTTACAGAGGAAGGAGAGGTGGGACAGGATAGGGTCAGAGGACATGCTGGCTGTGCAGGGGGGCGACACTGAGTGCCCAGGAGTCCTGTGTCCTGTGCCACTTTCTACAATGGAGGGAGGGGACAGTAATAGGTCTTATTAACTGAGCTCTGGGCCCTCTGACTGGTTCCAAACCCTATCTACTGATTCATCTAATTTGATCCTCATACTAACCCTACAAATACAGGTACAAGTATTACCCCATTTTGCAGATGAGCAAACTGAGGCCCAGAGAGGAAAAAGGTGCAGGAACTTGCCCAAGACAGACAAGGGAAACAGGCAGAGATGAGGAAGTGATGGAACAAAGGGGATCAGAGGGACAAAAAGAAAGGTGAGATGGCACCCCCTGGAGGGGGTCAATGGCAGTCCTGAATGGCCAGTAGTTCAGCTGCCCTTCTGAAGCCTTCCTACAGCCTCCCTCCCTGGCCTGTGGCATCTGAGAGAGGACAGGGAGCTCCCCTCCCCCTGCAGAGGGCGTGTGCACCCTGTGGACAAGTTTGCCTGCTGGGAAGCTCTTCGGGGCACCTCCAGGTGACGCTCCCCAAAGTGAAGCAGCTTTCATGCCATCATCAAGGGAGAAGGGACCATGACAGCCTTGTCCTGACAGGAGATTGTAGGCATCTTGAGGCCATGGACAGGTACTCGGGCCTGGCTGGGGAGGAAGCCAAGGAAGAGCTGTGGGAGACCCGGCAGGAGAGGAGGCGGTCCCACGGCCAGGACAGCGACCCCTCTGAGCAGCTGTGGCCATTGCCAGTGGAGGAGCGAGGTCAACTCGGGGTTCCCAGAGCTAGGAAAAGAGGAAGCGGCTCTGAGGCTCAAGGCCTAGGTGCCACCCTGCCCCTGATTTCCCTGTGACCTGGGTTTGACCCGTGCCCTCTCTGGCCCTTGTTTTTGTTTTTTCTTTTTTCCCTTAAAAAAAAAAAAAGATTTTATTTATTTATTTTTAGAGGAAGGGGAAGGGAAGGAGAAAGAAACCTCAATGTGTGGTTGCCTCTCGTGTGCCCCCTACTGGGGACCTGGTCCTCAACGCAGGCATGTGCCCCGAATGGGAATCAAACCGGCGACCCTTTGAGGGGTTCACAGGCTGGCACTCAATCCAGGGCAGTGGCCCTTGGCTTTCTCATCGGTGTGACAGAGAAGCAATCCCTTACCCTGCCCACCACTCGGGTTATGGTAAGGATGCCCCTACTGAGCTTTCTGGGCCTCGCCCTCTTTGTCTGCACCATGGAGATATTAACAGTACCTGCCTTGTAGCTTACGGTGAAGACTGAATGGGATAAAGAGCTTAGATCAGGACCAAGCTCCAAAGATGCTGCTGTTTCTTGGACATACTGATGGTCACGGAATATTGACAGGCCTCAGCCCTGGACGAGGAGAAGGATAGAGCTGAGAGCCAGACAGGTGCTCTCTACCCTTAGGAAGCTCAGTGTTTATCAGATAATCCCAGAACTCGATGTGAAGTGGCAGCCGAGGAGGACCTTACTGATTTATTTATTTTGTTGAAGATTTATTTATGTATTTTTAGAGAGAGGAGAAGGGAGGGAGAAAGAGAGGGAGATTAACATTGATAGGTTACCTCTTGCTCTCCCCCAACTGAGGATCTGGCCTGCAACCCAGGCATGTGCCGTGACCGGGAATTGAACTGGCAAACCCTTACTTCAGGCCTGCGCTCAGTCCACTGAGCCATGCCAGCCAGGGCACCTGAGAAGCACTTAAAGGAGAGATGCACCAGGCTATGGTTTGGGAACCCTTGAGAGGGGACCTAAGGTAGCTAGGGGGAAGGGGAGGAAAGCTTGCCCTGAGCATAAGGAGGGATCAGACACGGGGAAAGGAGAGGGAAAGCATTCTGGGCCTGTGCCACGGCCCCGTGGAGGGAGCAGGGACAGGACAGGAGAGGAGCAGGCAGCTAGGGGGTGAGCAGTGCAGCCGGAGGTGGCCCGGGCTGCTCAGCGGGACCTCCAACGTGCAGCGTGTTGGGAAGACCTTTCCCCATCAAATGATTGACCCATGGCTGCTTTAAAACGCAAGGCTTGATTTAATGCACAGCGGAGCTCTAACAAAAGAAAGGGACCATCCCAGATACTGGAGACGAGAGGGAACTGAGAGCCCGAGCTGTGAGCACAGTGGCCCAGAGAGACGAGGCCCAGGATGTGGGATCCAACCACGCTGGCCCGGGGTTATCGCGTCCTCGGAGAGGAAGACTGAGAGCAGGAGAAAGGGTTCAAATATCTCCCCTCCGTTCAAGAGAGACTAAGCTTTACCCACCAAAGGAAGTCACAAGAACTGTTGCCGGGGAGGCTGCATCTGCCCTGGCACGTGCAGCTCTGAAATATATGCCCACACCTCCGGCGCCGTGCAAGGCTTCCTGAGCTGAGACTCTGCCACCTAAACATGTGGGTTCCGGGGAGCAGGGGGTGCAACCGCTGGGGCTCCTGGTGAGGGTACATGCAAACCCATATTCTCGGGAAACAGACGGGACCTAGAAACCAGGGTCTGTTCACAGAAAAACCAAATGCCCCCAAAGACAAGCTCTCAAGTAACCAAAAACGACAAACCATGCATGGAAACCGTCCACCATGCGAGGGATCTCGCACACACAACCAGTGAGAGAACAAAGCACCCCAAGGGTCCGATAGAGCAATCTGTCAGAAACAGCAAAGGAACTCGTTTTTTAAAAATATTTTATTTATCGCAGTCAGAGCACATGCCTGGGTTGCAGGCCAGTTCCCAGTAGGGGATGCACGAAAGGCAAGTATACATTGATGTTTCTCCTCCTCTCTCCTTCCCTTCCCCTCTAAAGATAAATAAATTAAAAAATCTTTTTAAAAGTTTTAAAAATATTTTATTTATTTATTTTCAGAGAGAGGGGAAGGGAAAGAGAGAGAGGGAAAGAAACATCAATGTGTGGTTGCCTCTCAAGCGCCCCCTACTGGGGAACCTGGCCTGCAACCAGGTATGTGCTCTGACTGGGAATTGAACCAGAGAACCTTTGGTTGGAAAGCTGGTACTTAATCTTCTGACCCATATCAGCCAGGGCAGGGACTGATTTTTTCAATGATTAAAGAAATAGAGTCATAATGAAATCACTGGACTCCAGGTGGGCCAGGGGAGAATAGTTAAATTTGAAAATAAATAGAATTTCTAGAAAAGTTATTGATATTAAAATGAAAAAAATTCAGTGAATGAGTAAATAGATTAGACACAGCTGTAAGAAGCATGAGTGAATTGAAAGAGACAGTTGAAGAGACTCAGAATTTAGCAGAGATATAAAGAGATAGAAACTATTAATAGGACCAAAATCCCCTTTGAGGCCCTCTTTCAGCTGGCTAGATACCATAAGGCATGACTCACCCCAATTGTTTTATGAGCCTTTATCCTCAGGGCTAGAAAAAAATCACAGGAAGTGCCCCGAAGGCACAGAGGCTCCGAGAACTTACAAAACAGGACACACTAAGCAGACAAGGACCAGGCCTAGACTCTGCTCCCAAAGATAACATCGAAGCAAGTTGCAGCCAATACAAGACCAGCTGCAACATCCTGCTCTAGAACCAGCCAATCACCTAATAAAAGCTCAACATCCCAACCCATCAGGGCAGGTGCTGGTGCATTTCTCGGAACCTAGCCCTTTCCCTCCCTTGGGAAAGTAAAAATGAAAGCTTTAACTCTCTGCAGTTTCTCCTCTTTGTGCATTCTCTCACAGCTCGCGTCCCTGACCACCCTAACATGTTGGTGGCCTGTAAGGGGACCTTCTCCATCCCTCCCTCTCCTCTGGCCTCCTGAGACCTGCAGCTAGGGAAGCAGTGGGCAGCAGAAGCTAGACCCAGGCTAAGCCCCTCACCCTGCCTCTGCGAGGTTCAGAGAGAGGATTCTGACCCCTCTCCACCTCTCCAAACCCTGTGGGCAGCCTCCTTCTCACTCCTGCTCAAGGCCAATCTTGGGAAGGAAACATCCTATCCAAAGTGGTAGCTTATCTGCTCCACTCATTATCCTCGAGTAAAATCCGGGTCCTGAGTCTATTATTTTTGCAGAATTTCCATGCAGCAGGGAGGGACGGATGCCTCCAAGCGTCTCCCTGCTTGTTTGGTCCAGGGACGTTTGGCTCTGGGACGGAACCTGGCGTTCAGCCTGCCCTCAGGCTCTAGGACTCTCAGCTCTGGCCTCTGACCTCTAGGTGATTGGAGTTGGCAATGCCCTTGTCAAACCTTACCCCACCCACCTGGAGTTTGTTCTGGACCCCGAGATAGCCTTCCCTGTTACAAAGGGCAACACTCCATCAGCCCCGCCCAAGGACTTCCCACTGGGATGTCTACTTCAGAACTTGAAGGCTCTGGGACTTACAACCTCAAGCCCAAGTGCTCAGTTTTCTATTGCAACACCTCCTGGCCTCAATACAAACTGGGGGACCGACAAGTCTGGCCCATGAACAGGTCTCTTAACTTTAATGCTATCCTCCATCTTGACCTGTAGTGTCCTCAGCTCAATCTGCCCCTTAGGTTTCATTCTCAGGAGCAGACAAGATGTTAACCTTCAGCAGGCACCCCAGGCCTCTTTCTCCTAACTATGCCTTCTTGTTCAAATGCGCCTCCCTCTGCCGCCACCGCCACCACCCACTAGCGCCCATCTTGTTGCAGAATAAACACTGCATTTGTTTTCCAACTGAGCGGCGCTCCAATCCCTCAAGGCCACACATTTTTCATCAATACGACCCCCAGGGGGGCGGAGGGTGACGCCATTCCTCACCTGCTTAACCCACGCCCTTCATTCAACTCCCACTGGGAATTAGGCTTGTCCCTACAGCACCCACCTTGAGTAAAAACAAGGGTACAAAGAGGGAGAAACTCTCACCACCCCCACCTTGCCCCAGACTGTAAAACGCTCTGCGTTCTCCTCCTGGAGACCCAGGAGCTGCCAAATC